GAGGCAAAGGAGTCCTCAAAGTCCCAATTTATGAAGAGAGCCATGTTGGCACATCTGGGGAAACCCTGAATCTGAAAGCTTCCCGGTTTCTCCCCACCCAGTTGAAAGTTCAAGATCTTGCATCCCCACACCCACAAGTCCATCACAGCGTCCAATCTCCCACTGCCATGCTGGCAGCTTCCACCCATCCAGTTCCTGTCAGACGCAGAGGCGCAGAGACAAAGGATGACCTTGGCTTTCTAGAAAGAATGTTGTTATGGCTACATAGCATCTAACTCCGTACAATCCCCCCTCCCATTTTCCCCACAATAGAAAAAGGCATAGTAGAATAATAGAAAGTGTGGCAGGCCTAATATCAACTTTGGGACAACCATGGCCTGGGTGACGGAGAACCTCCATAGACACCTGATGTAATGCCTTACTATTGCACGCAAGCGTTCCTTGCAACACGCCCAATGACGTAGATGGTCTTTAAGCAGGGCATACTGAGTGTCAATATAGGAACCGGCTCTTAGCTTCATTTTGGGACAGTCGTGCTACTTATTAATCCACGTTTGCCTGCTTGAACTTCATTCTTCTTGTGTTTTGTCTCCCTTCCTCCTTGTCCTTCCTTCGTTCATGTAGTCCTTAACCTCTATGTTAGCAGCAGCCAGGAAAGAGATTGAACTTATGTCAGATGAGATGAGGGCCTTGATAGCCGAGAAGGAAGTCTTGGCGCAGGAAGGGAATGCTTTGAAGTTAGAAAAAGGTTCCTTGCTATCCAAGCTGGTAGACTTGGAGTCCAAGATCGGGCTGTTAAAGCAAGATCAGGAGAAACTCTGGACCGTGAACGAGGAGCTGAACCTGGAGAACAAGAGGACGGTCAAGGAGAAGCAAGACGCCGAGAACAGAACCCAGCAGGAGAAGGAGAAGAACGACGAGCTCATCTCCGAAAAGGGAAGCCTGCTCCTGGAGATCGAGGCCGCCCAAGAAGACCTCCTCAAGATCACCAGAGAGAACGACGCTCTACGGACGTCGAAGGCGGCTCTCCTCAGTGAGGTTGAGGAGCTCCAAGCTCGCAGCGAGGCCTTGGCCCAGGAGTGTCGGAAGCACGTCAACCAGCGGGAAGAACTGGAGGACTGTCAGAGGAAGCTGTCCGAGGAGAACGCCGCCCTCCTGAAAGATAAGGACGACGTCATCCAGAAGCTGAAGAGCTCTTACGAAGACATGGCCAGGGACCAGAAGGAGCTCCTGCAGGAAGTAACCACTTTGGCGGCGGAGAGGGACTCGCTCTTGGGGAAATTTCTGGACCTGGAAAACAAGCACGTCTCTTTGAAGAGGGAGCGGGATAGTCTTCTGCAGACCAGCCAGGATCTGCAGTCGGACAAGGAGGCCCTCTTGAAAGCGGAGGAGGAGAGGCGCCAGAACTTAGAGCAGGCTCTAGAGGAGAGACGGGAGCTTCAGCTGAAAAGCGAAGGCCTTCACTCCCGACTGGAATTATCCGATAAAGAGCTTAGAAGGGTCACCAAAGAGAAGAACCAACTGGAGGCCTCTCACGCTAGCCTCTCCAAATTTCTGGAAGAGATTAAGGCCAGCAGGGCGTCGACCGACACCGAGTTGATCCAACTCCTTCAAGAGAAGGAAGCCTTGGTTTGCTCCGAGAGGAGGCTGGCGGCTGAACGCGAGGAGCTTTGGAACGAAAACAAGAACCTTTCGGAGAAGCTGGCCCAGACCTCCGAAGAAGCCGCCCGCGTGGAGAAGACCTTGAACGACAAGCTGAGCCAGCTGAGCGCCGAGAAGGAGGTGGCCTCCCAGAAGTCTCTGAAGTTCAAGAAGCAGAACGAGGGCCTGGTCAAGGAGAAGGCCTCCTTGGAAGCCAAATGCGCCGAGCTCTTGGCGGAGAAGCAGTCCGCCACCAAAGCCGTGTGCGAATTGAAGAAGAAGCACGAGCTGGACATTTCCTCCAAGAGGATGCTGGTCCAAGAGAAGGCCAAGCTGCAGGGCAGCGCCGAAACCCTGAAGCGGGAGCTCGACCAGAAGATAACAGAGAACCAGGATCTGGTCCGATACAAAGCGGAGCTCTCCAAAATCTTAAAAGAAACCCAAAGCGCCAAAACCGTGTTGGAAAACGAATACTCCGCCTTGCTTCACGCCAAGCAGCTCCTCTCCGCTTCCTTTAAAAGCAGCTCGTCGGAGAAGGAGGTCCTGAACAGAGAGAAGGTCCAGCTGCAAGAGGAATGCCAGAAGTTGAGCAAAGAGCTGAAGACCATCTACAACAACCTGACCATCGAGCGGGAAGGCCGTACGTTGGAGAAGGAGTCGTTCCTGGTGGAGAACACCCAGCTCCACAACGCCGTGAGTCGTTTGGAGGCAGAGAAGGAAGAGCTGAGCCAGAAGAACCAGGAGCTGTTGGCAGAACGGGACCAACTGAAAGAGGAGAAGTTGAAGAGCGAGTCCCGTTTGGAGGAGATTATGAAGGAGAAAGAGGTCCTCGGTGCCGAGACGGACCAGCTGGCCTCCAACATTGAGAAGCTGAAGAAGGACTTTGCGGCTCTGACCAAGTCGAAAGCCGAGCTGCAGGAGCTTCACAGTAGTGTCTCCAAGATCTTGGAAGACCTTCGCTCCAGCCACCAGACCAGCGAGCTGGAAAGATCTAAGCTGCTCCAAGAGAACGAGGTGTTGCTTCTGGAGCAGAAGCATCTCCTCGCCATCAAGGAAGAGATCCTGAAGGAGAAGGAGACGTTCTCCAAGGACTACTACAAGCTCCACGAGGAGATCACCCTTCTCGCCCAGGCCAACAGCGAGATGTCCGGCAATCTTCTGGCGGCTCAGAACAAGACCCAGGCCCTGCAGAAGGAGAGGGACGAGCTGGTCTTCAAACTGGAAGACATCGAAGGACTACAGGCCCAAGCCGTCATGCAAAGATTTGAGGTATCGGAGCGGCGAAATCAGTCCCAATTGCAGTTACTAACACCCACCACTAAGCGGTTCCTGTGTCTGCACTTAATTTTTTGCACGATCGCTCTGCACCCTCGGAGCACCCTTCTCAATCCTCCTACGGAGAGCAAATCCAGTTGATTTTCTAGGGTGAGGGGCCCACCTTCTCTTCAACATCTGGAATGATGTGGCGGAGGTGCCTCATCATCACGGCTGAATATTCCAACCCAGCTGTGAATAAAAAGGCGTGCGAATTTTTACGAATTCCCAATTGGATTGGAAGCGGTGCCTTATTTTAAATTGGGGGGGGGCACGGAACCGATGGTGACGCCGATTCGTCCCCCTGGAAAAGCAAAATGAAAAGCAGACCGATTCTAAGCAGCCTTCGCTTGCGAAATGGACGTTGCAATGCCAGTTGCCTTTTTATTCACAATTGGGCTTGTGCTCACCACCAACAGAGGACAAATTAGGAGGCTGAACCCTTCCTCTCTGCATTTCGTCAAAACCTCAAAATTTATTCCAACCGCTATTCGGTCTTAACTAGCCCGAACTTAAAGGTTCGAAGGCTTTATTTGAAACATTTCAATTATCTCTTCTTGTCCCCCAAATTTAGAGGCGTGGTGGCTACTCCTCTGATTTCTAATATTCTTTTTTTTTTTTAAATAAATGAGTGGAAATCTGTTAGTGGTGAAGCTCTCCCCTGAATGATTAAGAGTAATTAAATAATAATTCACGAAGATAATTGAACTGGGAGCCACGAATAAGCATGGGATTGTCATTGAATTTCTGCATGGAACAATGGATTTAATTGTGCTTCTGGCACGGAAAAGGAATTGGTTTCACTCTGGAAGCCGCGGCTGGATTTTAGCCTTAATTTGCTGCCTACTCAAGAGAAATACTATTGACTAGAGCAGCGTTTCCCAACTTTGGGGGCTTTTAAGAAGCGTGGACTTCAACTCCCAGAATTCTCCAGGCAGAATTCTGGGAGTTGAAGTCCACACTTCTTAAAAGTCCCCAAAATTGAAAATGCTGTTATAGGTAGGCAGTTAAAAAGGCAGGCAACCTGGACACCTGGCAGAGAGCTCGGATGACAGCTCCCATCATCCTCAGCCCCCATCCCCGTGGCTCCTCATTTGGAAGAGAGAGCTCCGTTGGGCACCAGGGTGTCCTCCGATGGTCAACCTGCCACCGTCTTTTCTCCAGGACCTGACCTGGGTTTGTTTTTTTTTTTAAAAAGAAATAAATAAAGATTTTAAAAGATTTGTTTCCAACCTCTTAGACTGCGAAAACAGCAGAAGACGCTTTGCAGATAGTGGAGCAAGTGAGCAAAGAGAAGGAGACTCTTCATAGAGAGAAGACGGAAATCTCGGCCGCCTTAGAAGAAGCCAAGCAGCTGAACCAAAAGCTGAAAAAAGAGGTAAATTTAAAAAATTAAATCTCTGCTAAACCTCCCTTCCTTCAGTTCTGGGGGGCGACATTGTCGTGGTTCCAATAGCAATAGCAATAGCAGTTAGACTTATATACCGCTTCATAGGGCTTTCAGTCCTCTCTAAGCGGTTTACAGAGTCAGCATATCGCCCCCAACAATCCGATAGATGATAGATAGATAGATAGATAGATAGATAGATAGATAGATAGATAGATAGATAGATAGATAGATAGAT